AAATCCTATCTAAAATTTACTTATTCTTTGAATCCAGAATGAACTGTATAGTGGATGTGCTATGACAGCTGAACTCATTGATATCCATTCATGCAAACCGAGCTAGGCGGAAGATAATTAATACAGCAGCTAGTCATAACCAGTCTACACATTCATGCTGCTGCATCTCCACACCGCCATAATCCACTCACCCCAACTGTAGACTTCGTAAGATCTGTCAACAGTGCATACCCATCTAGCAGGGTGGCACTTTAGTTCCAGGGCTAGTCTCTAGTGGAAGCATTCCATAGATTTGAATCCTGCTTGGGTCATTTTAAAAATATATATATTTTAAGCATAAATGCCAGACAGTGATAGAATACAGGTATTTTAAATCAGACACCTGGGTGACAAGAGTGTTAGCACCATGTGTTAGGACTCATGCTATCAGCTGTGCTGGAAGTGCAGCTCTCAAGGTAGGTATTTGACAATAAAATGCAAAGGTAAAAAGCTCCATGAATCCTACTGCTGTTATGGGTTTGGGTCCCATAGTAAACCTCAAGTTGTACCTGATCACAAGTTACATAAACTCAGACTCAAATATACCTCTTTGGAAATGAGACAACATTTGTAGAATGAAAGTTTTCAAAGCAGCTTGTGAATTTAGATACAAATGTTCATTATCACCAATGGAAGATATCTCAGTCACCTAGACTGCTTTAAAAATCTCAGCCATAATATAGCCTCTATTAAATAGATAACAGAAAAGCTGAATTCTGAAAATGAAGTAATTAAACATTTGAAGCTTTCATTCTATTTTTGTTGTATACTTCATTTTGAGTCTGATATTTCAACTCTAGAAAGTTGACAGTTGTGGTAGAGAGAAAAACAAGACGACAAAGGAGAAAAAAAAATCAAAACTAAGATTTGCCAGGGCCTAGCCACTACCGACATCTCCTTTGGGTAGAAAATCTATCAGTAATAAGGATTAGAGCTCCCCCCCCAATCTCCTTTAGTTTATAACTTTTAAGGTATAGTTTAACTCCATGAACCCACGTCTTAACCAGTTATATTCACCCAGCCCGAATTAAGGGAAGACCAATTTAGACTACTTATCTGCTCTCTGATGTAATACTTCACAAGAATAATGTACGACTATACACTAAACAGGAAAAAAGGTCAACAGTTTATGTAGGATTCACACACAGCTACTTAAAATAGCCATACGAGAAACTATCTTCCCCCTACTTTTACACCTAGCACTAACTTTGTCTCAGGCAATCTGGTCCTCCTAGGTTTACCCAGGACCAGAAAAATTAAGGGAAGCTGGTATGAAAGACAGAAGACACTGCCATCAGAGAACTCCACAGGGAAAACACTGTTCAAAAACCAAGTACCTCAAAATTCCTGGGAAAGCAGAAAACGCTGCTCCTGGCCATGTCTGGGGTCTCCAAACATGTGTGTCAATCTCTGATAAAATGTGAGGCCTATTTTTCTCTCACCCAAGAATCCTTCTGATTACTAACCGGGAGCAGAGGCACATTTTCCCCTCTCCCACCCTAAAGCCTCCTAGGTACAGTAAGACAGTGTGTCCTAGCTACTGACTGTTCCTGGGCAGGCCCGCTATTTTTGGGTCACCTTTTTTCCCCCTGTGGACAGTGCCAATGCCTGACTGTGCTTCAGCTTGTAGCTTCCCACCACCACCCCACCATTACATTAAATGGATAAACTGATCACCCTCACTGCTGCCATTCAGAATCCTGTGGGAAGCTGTAACTGCCCACTCTTGTCCATTTCACTCCGCAACAGCTTGGGAAAGCTAGCAGCTACAGAGGCACTGGAGCTGTCTGCAGAGTCAAGAACAGAGAACTGAGCATTGGTTCACATTTGGAAGGGTATCATCACAGCCATAAACAAATTTTCTTTTCAAAAAAAGATTGAATTCTCCAGAAGTTTACGTCGTAGTTCTCCCCACTCACCAGGGAAAGGTCTCTGCTTGCCATTGGTAAGTGGATTTGTCAAGTCCTACCCACTTTCCAAGAGGTCTAAGCATCCTCACTGTATTTCTGCAGGAATGATGGGTTCACATATATCCATTACTCCTTCTGCAGAGGACTTCCCCTATGCTGCAAGCTAAATACAGCCTACACCTTGCTCAGTTTCTACTCAATGATCTAATTCTAGAGCTTGACCAGAAAGATAATTGAATCTTGAGGAGTTACTATAGCAACCATTAGATGTCATCTTAGAATGGCTTAGGACACTTCCTACAGGAATTTTATCACTAAGAATGCAGTGCAGCCAGAGGGAGGCAGTCATTGGTACTTTTTATAGTTTGTCAACTATTTTGCTCTACTTCCTCTATCTGTATACACCGAGGATGCAACTCAGTGAATTTAGAGATCAAGACGTTCTTATTGGGAAAAATCACAGAGGCTAAGTCATATGACCCATTCCCAGTATGACTGTTTGTCACACGTCCAGTGAGCCAGCAAACTCAAATTTTACTAGAAGAGATCTCATAAGAGGTTTCTCTAAGCCCAGTTTTGGGGTTTGTGCATTTTGTTCTCTTTTATTATTTTATTATTATTTCAGAGCCCAATGCAAACCAGTTCCAATATTAAATGCTTGTGAATCTATTTTACCCTGATCTTTGAAGGTTCACAGTCCTCTAACAACCACAGCTGGCACACAAATCAGTAATACCAACTGTCTACGATATGCAAAGAATTTCGCATAGCTTATTCATCCCAAGAGGTACATCTGTTTTGAGTTATATGGCTGAACAAAATTAACTGTGTTTAAAAAAACAACAAATGACTATCTTCATCTACATCTGTTTAGTTCGGATTATCCTTCCACGCAAAAGGCCAATATAGCCTGAGCTGAATCCAGTTAAGGATACCTTTTTCCTGGTACCATCATAGCGGGAGCTCAAGTTCAGGAATACCCATTGCTGAGAAAGGACTTGACTTTCCAAAAACTAATACTCCCTGGCTGGGATGCATATTGATCTCTCGACCATTTCTAAAGATCGATCTTTCATTAGCTACCCAGGCAGGGAACACCACAAGAACTAGTCTCAAATGTCGAACTGTTCCACGGCTGCAGTGGACAACTAAGGAGCCAAGACCACTCCAAAGGAAGTAACATATCCTCATGGTGAACTTGAAATCCCTCCTGTGATTGAGATAAATCCACATGATGGCATATGGGTCCAACATGCAAATCCATACTCTAATTTAGAAAGGAATACTATAAAGAAATACATTGAAAGGTAAAATACCCTGCAAATTTTTTTGCACTGGAGGGGTAGAAAGTTTTCCAAGAGAGCAAACAAACTAGATGGTTTTGCTATTGCAGGGAATACCAAACTGAACTGTTACAAATGTCTTAAGCTTCTTCCATTCATAAGACATTTTGTAAATTCTCTAAATAGTTTCATAATGATGAAATAATCTGTTCCTTATATACAAACTTCAAGAGTTAAGCCATCAGCCATATATATGCATCAGTAACCAGCATTTTGACTTTGACACCCTTGCCTCTCTATTAGATTGTAAGATCTTTGGAGCAAGAAATGTCTCTTGCTCATGTTTCGGTAATGCAACACGTACATTTGTGTCATGTATGTGATTTATAAAATTACACTTATTCCTTCAGCAGCAACCATTCATGAGCATGAAACCTGCCTGACTAAAGTTGCTATCTGAGAAAGGTTCTGCCAAAAAGGATGGGATGAGGTTATGCCAAAAAGGATGGGGTGAATGGGCAGGGGTTTTGCTTTTGAAGTGCTTGGAGAAAAGTTTAGTACTGTTGAAATTTTGTAGTACACACAATTGCCTGTATGCTTGCTTCCATTGCTGCCACCCCCGTTCCCAGAAGCCTCTTCATAGGTACTTGGTATAAACAAAAGAAACAAGTCAAGGCTATGATCTTGCAACCACTTAGGCTACCTCTACATTACTAGCTAAGGGTGTGATTCCCCTGCTCGTGTACACACACTCATGCTAGCTCTCACTGAGCTCGCACAAGTATAAATAGCAGTGTAGCCCTGGATTCAAATGTAGTGGCAGGAGAGACATGGCTTAGCTGTGCCAAGTACAAACCTGCCAGAAAGCTGTGCAAAGTACATACCTACTGATAAGCTGTGCCTCTACTGCCGCTACCCGGGCTACTGCAGCTACACTGATATTTATACTTGTGCTAGCTTGATGAGAGCGACGCAAATGTATGTACATGAGCAGGGGAATCACCCCCTTAGTTCAGAATATAGACAGTCTTGAGCACGTCTCTCTGTACATGCGTATGGCCCCACTGAAGTTGGTGCTTCTGTTCATATATGTAGCTATGCAATGCTTTGAAGGATTGCTACTCAAGACAAATTCTGAGATGGAATCCAAGAGATGTGCTCAAATACACGCAGTCAATAGTTTTCCAATACAGTATTTGCAAGATCAATTACTATGGTTGCTTTTCAGCTACCAGGTGTCCAAATGACCATTTTTGCATGCACAGTTGGGATAACCGCATGCACAAAGGTAAGCATGCAGTTTCATGTGCATTTTAACATATGACCTTCTTCCAAAATATTTAGTGTTGTGGTAATTTATTACTACTTCTTTCAAAGAAATTAAATGCAATTTTGAAAATGTTTATTCATATAGTAAGTCTCATTCAAATATGACAAAAATGCACAAAGGAAGGTGTTAGCGTCTATTATCCTTTACTCTATGTTGATAAATACGTGAGAAAATAAATTCCAAATCAGTTACTATTTAAAGGAAAATAATTCATTTAATTAAATTAAAGCTATTTTTATATGAAGAGGTTACAGTAATTGTTTGATTACTAATGTTGCCCTATGGACCCACATAACTGGTTTTGTATTTTTTGTCCCCCCCCCCCCTTTTTTTTTTTTAAATGTATTATGCTTCCTTAAAGTGTAAAGTTCTCAAGATCCATTACATGGAAAAGTAAATGGGTTGAACTTCAAGAAGTCTATATACTGCTGCATTTACCTTTTCTCAGATGTTGTTTTTACTTTGTTCATCTTGGAAAACTTAGTTCTTCAATACACCATCTCAGATAACCTGTAAAACACATTTAAAAAATTAAGACTTATTAGCAATGTATTGTGTTGCTGTACAATGAAGTGCTGCCACCATATTACAGTGCTCAGAATCTCTGCACTGGAAGTTTTGAATACAAGAGATTTCATAAAAAGTACTCGCTACACTGAAGAAAAAAGGTAATTCTGCTCCTAATTTAACATATAGGGCCTAAGGAATAGAGCAAAATTAACAGAATACTGAAAACACAGTAAGCATGCACTAAGGACCTAAATTATAGTTTAATCATGCTAAATCTCAGGGAATACAGACTTTGATAAAGTATTGAAAATCAGTAATTTTATCATACTGCATGTACCATGAACAACTTGCGCAATATGGCCAGAAAAGAAAGCTACCTGCTTAGGCATCTCCTGGAGCCAAACATGTAAGTTTTTCCAAATTTCTTGAAAAAAATCTGAGATGCCACACTGTTGGGGACACTGGGGCATGGCCACTAGGTAACTTGAGGGGATGGAAGATTACGAGTGTTGATGAAGCCCTTTTGTACTAGGTCCAGGTGTTTTTGGCTTTTTTTTTTGTTTTGTTTGGAGGCATTTGCAGCAGCTTTGCGTACTAGGCTTGCTTCTCCACCCCGTTGTGATTATTGGGTGTAGCACACCGGGTAACGAACCACTCAAGCTGTTGTTCAGCCTCTCGGCACTGGGTGCCGGCAACAACACTATACCTCCTTTTCTTTATGGCCACTTCATGCTCTTAATTTTGAGACTAGAAACCTAAATGTACAATCAGAAAAAGTGTTTGGTATTCTTATTTAAGTAGAACCTGAAAACATTTCTTGGACAGAAACCACAGCATGCTAACAGCTTAATTTTCCCATCCTTTTAAGTACATAGTGTCCTCAGAGTCTCATATGGTGCCTCTCAGCATTTAAGGTTGCAGTTTATAGGACCATAAACTGAATCTCAGTGATTCTATCTGAGATAAAATGTAATACAAAGAAGAGTTCTCTGAGAGGCCATGTGTTTGTTATAAAGCACTGAAGTACAAGACACAAACAAACTATGTTGAGGAAAACAAAAGCACTTATCTTCTTGTGATTTGTGCATGAGAAACTTTCTCTGCTGCATACTAGCCCTCAAGTTTACAAGATCTTGTTATTATCAATGCCACTTGAACATAACAGGCAGTAACAAAACTTCCAGTTTTGTCATGCAGCCAGCTGATGAAGAACAGCAGAAGAGATATAAAGTGATCTGTAGGAGGCTTAGGGTGGGGAAGAGAAAGGAGGAACTATCAAAAATTCAAACAGAGAAAGAATAGGATGCTTCACGAGCAAGTAGGATACTGATGCTGAGAGAAGAAAGGGAGAACCCCAAACAAACAGCAGAAGCAACTCCAAACTTTGCAGACATTAACAAGCCAAGACCAATATAAACAGTGAGGCATAACAGCAGCTCCCCTCCGCTTACCTGAAGCGATTTTCTTTCCCAGCAACCAACTGGGGGTGGGGGGGGGGAATTCTTGGCTTCTCACAAGAAGCACCACCAGTGTACGTCTGGCTAACAGGTAGCTGGCCAGTTTGTCCAACCAATGTTCAGATGCAGAATTTCTCTGCTTCCTTCCATAAAAAGGGGAAGGTGGGGGGAAGAATTGGTTACAAGAACTACGGCTGGGTTCACTACACAAAATACCTTATCTCGGGTTATAAAGTTCAGATTATTCAAACTAGGCCAGAGATCTAACTGGAGGGAGAAGACATGAGATTCTAGGAGAGTTACCTCAAGTGGCCAATCTGGCACTGTTTTGCTTATGACATTGGCCAGCTGGCAGACAACTGACAGACAGCCTACTGGTGCATGCAGTATCCACATATTAACATGTACTGAAGTGCTTTACAAGTGGAGCCAGCTACAGAGCTAAACTAACTAGGATCACAAGATATCAATTTGTTTCATTCTGAAGCCCACAAAAGCACTTTGGTGCAGTTCAAGTGTCTGAATGTTCTAGGTCAATTGAAAAACAAAGACGGGGGAGAGAGGGGAAAAAAAAGGAGGAGACAGTTAAGGAGATAGGAAAAGAAAAGAATGGGGCTATTAATGTTAGCAACCCACATAACTAGAGAATTGTGTGCAAAGTGTACTCGGGTGAACAGATGACAAGAACAAAATATCGGGACACGGGGAGGGGCAGCCACAGCTCACCCCCACCAGGGCTGGATCTAGGTTTTTTGCCGATCCAAGCCACAAAAAAAAAAAGCGCCGGAGTGCCACCGAAGCAAAGTATCAGGTCAAATGGCATCCCGACCGTACATCAGTCGGGACACAGGACAAAACTAAATATCGGGAAATCTGGTCCTAAAGTGTACTGATGATTTATCAAAATCTCTCTTTAGTAATCTGCTAGACTATGCAGTGAACCTGTATTTAAATCCTTAAAAAAAAAAAAACCCTAAAGAAATAATCCTCTGATCCTACCCACTTACCCCACACTGAGATATTACCCTACTGCTGGCAGTCGGACAGCATTACCTACAGCTTTCTTAAAGAGATGTTGTCAATTTGAAATCCAGTGAATTAAAATAAAAACTTGAGGTATTTTCAGATACTATATCTACCCCACTCAGAACAGGTATAGTATCTAAAGGAATTTAAAAATAAGATGTGTGGGGTTTGTTGGGTCATGTTTTTAATTATTACATTTCCAGTTGTGACGTTACTGACATAACCTGTGACCCTATAGATCATTGTTGCAACCACTGTTATATATTTGCTACAAATATTGTATAAAGGTTGTTGTGTAAGGTGTCTATGGAAAGCATAATTATAATCAGCAAATCATAACCTATCTGTATGCGTGTATCATTTTTGTATGCGAAGTTATGAATATTGGCTATGTACTTGTATATCGATGTGTTTTGATTCTAAGTAGCCTCAGTGAAGCATTTGGTCAGCTTCTTGAGAAGGGACTATTCTCAGTAAGTGCCCAATCAAGAAATACTTAGCTGACATTGAACTTTGGGAGATGCCAATCCACATCTGAGCTTTCCTGGGAACATTCAAACTAACATGTAAACAATGGCATTGGCCTGTAAAGAACTGAGTCATGCATGGACATGTGGCTTGCCCATGTGACTCCAGGGTCCATCTTGCTGCTGTCATCTTCCACAGGGCAGAGAATATAAAAGGCTGCTGCATCTCCTCCATTTTGTCTTCAATCCTGCTTCTTACTTCTGGAGGGACTTTGCTACAAACTAAAGCTCTGAACAAAGGACTGAAGCCCCCGACCCTGCATCCCAGCTGGAGCGCCGGAGCAATGTAAGCCCCAGATCCCCTCCCTAGTGGGAGCTCGTGGGCTGGCTTAACATGACTTGTGGGCCAGATCCAGCCCATAGTTTGCCCACCCCACTATAATGCCATGTTCCTGGAAAACATTTCTCCTTACCAAAATAAAAGTCAATGTCTTCTCTTCCACCTCGCTAATCCCCACTCCCATCTCACCTCTCCTAGCATGGTTCTTTTCACTTTCACTTGCACCAACACACAAAGTTTCAAGACTCCTTAGCAAGCCTATCACTCATCCAGTTTTATTCTCAATCATCTTTATTGCCAAAAGAAGCAGGAGAAGGGAAAGAAAATGTAAGCGCCATGACCAGACAATGAGTTTATTGGCCAGGAATTGGGTTTCTCCCTGGTACCTGGCTGAAAAATTCCTCTATGTTGTATTTCTCTTACAACTAGAGAGTCAACTTCTAAGACACATATTTGTTGCAAATGAAAAAGGGTATGGTGTACTGGAAATCTCATTTGCTCTAAATAGCAGTTATGTATTCTAATTTTCTGTAGTATCTGGCAGATGAATCTTACCCATATGCTCAGGGTTTAGCTGATCGCCATATTTGGGGTCGGGAAGGAATTTTCCTCCAGGGCAAATTGGAAGAGGCCCTGGAGGTTTTTCGCCTTCCTCTGAAGCATGGGTCACTTGCTGGAGGATTCTCTGCTCCTTGAAGTCTTTAAACCACAATTTGAGGACTTCGATAGCTCAGACATAGGTGAGATGTTTTTCGCAGGAGTGGGTGGGTGAAATTCTGTGGCCTCCATTGTGCAGGAGGTCAGACTAGGTGATCATAAATGGTCCCTTCTGACCTTAGTATCTATGAATCTATGTTCAAACAGTAAACAACCAGCTGAAGAAATAAGATGCGGGTATGTCCTGCCTGTGTGAAAGCTTGCTCCTTGCATTCTTCCCTGCTTGCTTATGTGACGTATACCCTTGTAACAGTGACGGAAGAGGGGGCGGGGATGAAAAAAATCTAATGTGTCTTTAAAAATCACTTTAATCTAACCTGAGATCACAAACACTAAAAAGCTGTAATCATAATTGTATGGTTATTGCATAATATCACTACAGGGCAGAGGTAAGGTTGTTTGGGTGCCTTAACTGTTTATTTCTTACTTTAAGATGTTGGGATTTCTTATGTGTAACCTTAACTCTAAATTCCCTAGGTTTGTACAGCTTGGTTTAAAGAAAGAAATAAAAATTGGAGATGTTATTTAATACAAGTTAATGAAACATTTTCTGTCTAATAATATGAACCAACAGGTTATTGGCAACACGCTTCTTGAAAATGTATAAGGATTTCTTTATTGCCTTCTTCTAACGCCTGTTTAATGTGCGTTCTTCTATTGTAAGACGAGAGTGACCTCTCAGACAACTACCATAAAAGAACCATCTATGGCAACTTCATCAGGCTTAAGATGCCAAAATCTACAGTGAAAGAAAGGAAGTAGTCCAGGTAACTGGGGACAAAGTTACTCTACCACAGAAAGAATTTTACCATGAAGTAGTGGAGCATGCCAAATGAACAGTGCAGCTGAAGCCTACTGAAGTAGAACTGAAAGTAGGGCTTTCTGACAAACAGCTATTGGAACACTTTCTTGAAGGGAAGTGTAATAGTCTGAATCCTTATGCTCGCCCTTTTTACAAAACTATAATGGATATTGTACAAAATATGCCTTGTG